AACAACTCAAACGGAAGGGAACTAATCGATTTACCCCTGGAGCCAGTTCGCGACCGAACTACCGAGACGACAAGGCAACCTATCCCTCGCGCTCTAACACTCAACCGAGGACAGACGCAAAACCGAACCAGAACAAAGGCAAGACCGAGGCCAGTTCATCCAGGACGCGAGACATCGAGTGCTTCAAGTGTCGGGGAAAGGGACACTATGCCAATAAATGTCCGAATCAGAGGGCTATGCTCATGCTCGACACCGGAGAGATCATATCCGATCACGAGGAGGAAACCGAGCTGGTCTACGATGAAGAAGAGACCGAGGAGCGAGCTGTGTCCGGAGAGTTACTTGTAGCTCGGCGTGTTCTCATAGCACAAGAACGGACCAAGGAGGAAGACCAGAGGGAAAATTTGTTCCACAACAGGTGCCTGGTCCAAGGAAAGGTGTGCAGCCTGATTATTGACGGAGGGAGCTGCACCAACGTGGCTAGCACTAGTATGGTTGACAAGTTGGGATTGGAAACCCGTAAACACCCTCATCCTTACAACCTACGGTGGCTTAACAACCAGAGGCAACTCAAGGTCACCAAGCAGGTCACCGTGCCAATCATCATTGGACGATATGAGGACGAGGTCATTTGTGACGTTCTACCTATGGAGGCCGGTCATCTACTTCTAGGACGGCCGTGGCAGTTCGACAAGAAGGCGATCCATGATGGGTTCTCAAACAAGCATTCCTTTGAGCACCAAGGTCGCAAGATCATCTTAGCACCCTTGTCACCACATGAAGTCTATCTCGATCAAGTTAAGCTGGAGCAGAACTCTAAGGGCAAAGGTATTATGAGCGAATCCCAAAACACGTCACTTCAAAAGAGAGAGTCTGAGAAAAACCTAGAAATGGCCTATGAGGGAAATCCCGTGAGCAAAGAATCTTTTCTTGTGAGGCCTAGCGAGGTGAAATATGCCTTAGCCACAAAGCAACCTTTTATCCTTCTCATTTTTAAAGAAGCTTTGGCTAGCCATACTGACCCTGAGCCGGTTTTACCGAGCAGAATCTCTCATGTTTTGCAGGATTTTGCTGATGTCTTTCCAGAAGACGACCCAGGTGGCTTACCACCCCTTCGAGGAATTGAGCACCAGATTGACTTCGTGCCCGGAGCCACCCTTCCTAACCGACCTGCCTACCGTACTAATCCCGTGGAAACCAAGGAGCTTCAAAGACAGGTGGATGAACTTCTGGCCAAGGGTTACATTCGCGAGAGCATGAGTCCATGTGCCGTACCGGTTTTACTCGTGCCCAAGAAGGATGGAACTTGGAGGATGTGTGTTGACTGCCGAGCCATCAACAACATAACGGTTAAGTATCGCCATCCTATACCTAGGCTAGACGATATGTTAGATGAGCTTCATGGTGCATGCATCTTTTCTAAAGTTGATTTAAAAAGTGGCTATCACCAGATTAGGATGAAAGAAGGTGATGAATGGAAAACGGCTTTTAAAACTAAGCATGGTCTTTACGAGTGGCTTGTTATGCCTTTTGGACTCACTAATGCACCTAGCACATTCATGCGTTTGATGAATCATGTTCTTAGGTCGTTCATAGGTGTTTTCGTGGTAGTTTACTTCGATGATATCTTAATTTACAGCAAGACCTTAGATGAACATGTGCTGCATTTGAAAAAGGTGTTAGATGTGCTTAGACATGAACGACTCTTTGGAAACCTTAAGAAGTGTACTTTTTGTGCGGATCACGTTGTCTTTTTAGGGTTTGTTGTGAGTTCGCAGGGAATCCAGGTCGATGAAGAGAAGATCAAGGCGATCCAGGATTGGCCGAGCCCAAAGACTGTTGGAGAAGTCCGGAGCTTCCATGGCCTAGCTGGCTTCTATCGCCGTTTTGTCCAAAACTTCAGCACGATAGCCGCACCTTTGACCGAGATCATTAAAAAGGAGGTCGGGTTTAAGTGGGAGCAACCGCAGGAGGAAGCCTTTCAGCTCTTGAAACACAAGCTAACCCATGCGCCCTTACTGGTGCTACCTGACTTTCTTAAGACCTTTGAGATAGAGTGCGACGCCTCAGGGGTTGGAATTGGAGCCGTGCTGATGCAAGAGAAGAAACCCGTGGCTTTCTTCAGTGAGAAGCTAGGAGGAGCAACCTTGAACTACCCAACCTACGATAAAGAACTGTACGCGTTGGTCCGAGCATTACAAACCTGGCAACACTACCTGTGGCCCAAGGAGTTCGTCATTCATACAGATCACCAGTCGCTCAAACATTTAAAGGGCCAACAGAAGCTTAACAAGAGGCATGCCAGATGGATGGAATTCATCGAGACCTTTCCATACGTCATTCAGTACAAGCAGGGTAAAGAGAACGTGGTGGCCGATGCTTTGTCTCGACGACATGCCTTGATTTCCACTTTGGATGCGAAGGTGTTAGGGTTTGAACTGATGAAGGATGCCAACCTCACTGATCCAGACTTCCAGGACGTCTACCGAGCCAGTTCCAAATTTGCCCATGGCAAATACTACCAAAGTGATGGCTATCTTTTCTATGAAAATCGGTTATGCATACCTAACACATCTCTCCGTGATTTACTTGTTAGGGAAGCACATGGAGGAGGACTGATGGGGCACTTCGGAGTAGCTAAGACTCTAAGTGTGGTGCAAGACCACTTCTTCTGGCCGCACTTAAAACGCGATGTGGAGCGAATTTGTAGCCGTTGTACGATCTGCAAGATGGCCAAAACCCGAAGCCAAGGCCCAGGTATGTACACTCCCCTTCCGATCCCTAGTGAGCCTTGGACCGACATATCCATGGACTTTGTGTTAGGATTGCCACGCACTAGGAGAGGTAGAGATTCGGTCTTTGTGGTTGTAGATAGGTTTTCTAAGATGGCTCATTTCATTCCATGCCATAAGACCGATGATGCATCAAATGTGGCTGACCTGTTCTTTAGGGAAATAGTCCGATTGCATGGGGTTCCTAGAACCATTGTTTCAGATCGGGACACCAAATTCCTTAGTTATTTTTGGAAAACCCTATGGTCAAAACTTGGAACTAAACTTTGTTTTTCAACTACTTGTCACCCTCAAACTGATGGACAAACCGAAGTAGTTAATCGAACTTTGTCAGCCTTGTTGAGATCCGTGATTAAAAAGAATCTTAGAACTTGGGAAGATTGCTTGCCACACGTTGAATTTGCTTATAATCATTCGGTTCATTCAACTACAATGTTTTCTCCTTTTCAACTTGTGTATGGGTTTAATCCGATTACCCCACTTGATCTAACCCCTTTGCCTATGAGTGAAAGACTTAATCTGGATGGCAAGAAAAAGGCCGAACTGGTCAAACAGATGCACGAGAAAGCCAAGGAGAACATTCAAAGGAAAACCGAGCAATTTCAAAGAAAAGCAAACAAAGGAAGAAGCAAAAGAACGTTCGAGCCCGGCGACCAAGTTTGGATTTATCTACGGAAGGAAAGATTTCCTGAGGAACGGAAATCCAAGCTGTTACCCCGAGTCGATGGACCATTCACGGTCTTGAACCGCATCAATGACAATGCTTACCAGATCGACCTCCGAGGTAAGTATACGGTCAGTTCAAGCTTTAATGTTTCTGACTTAGTTCCCTTTCTTCCAGATGGACCAGACTTGAGGACAAGTCCTTTTCAAGAGGGGGGGAATGATACGAGCATGGACGAGGTGCGAACTGAGGGTCAGGCCGGAGGACTAGTCCAGACCGGAAATCACGACCAAATGGCCGAGCTAAGTGAGATGGAGGTTCAAGAAGGGAAACTGGCCGAGGTGAACGACCCAAGTCCAGAACTGACCGAGCTCACTGGTCCAATTACACGGTCCCGAGCTAAGAAGCTGTCCATGGCCATTTGGAGGTTATACACCGAGCTGATGGCCAAGTTTACGGATGCCACACTAAGCGACCGAGCTGTAACACTCTTAGCCTATTCGGACGGTGTGGCCCCTTGATACTATTTTTCCTTACATCCGGGTTTGTCCCATTGGATTTACCGGATGGGGTTTTAATGAGGTTAAGGCCCACATCTTTTCCTTATCCGAATTAGTTAAAAGTCGTTACAAGGAGTTGAAAGATCATTCTCGTAAAAGAAGTCAAACGGACATCCGAGGAAGCCGAGTGGTCCTTTATCGTATTCAATGTATCTATTTATTATTTCTGTCCTTTGCACTTCTTATGAGACTCTATATAAAGAGCCCTAATCCCTTGTATTTTGTCATTCACTTTTATCAATAAAAATGTCGAGATTTTCTCTTGTTTTCTTTGAGTTTCCTTTCTTAGGTGGTTAGCCTTGAAAGTTTATTTTGGGTTTATCGGATTCAGTCTATAGGATTCGACGCAGCCTTCCTTACATCTTGTTTTCAATTTCGTTCAAAGTAGTTTAGGGGCAACAGGATTTTCGAGATCAAGTCTCACGCCTGTTCATCCTTGACCCGCGAGATCAACACTTGGTGTTTTCATTCCTTGATCAGTTTCCGTTTCTCGCGAGTTGGGCCTAAGGATTTTCGAGGCAACCCCTCACCCCTTAGCATCTCTCCGATCAAACCGATCTGGCCGAGTTTATCAACCCCTACCAAACGAGCAAGTGCAATTTCCTTGGGAGGATCGTATCAACTAATCTACATCTATAGTATATTCATTTTATTTTACTTTCCATTTCAAAAGTTTTGCGGTGTTACACTCTTCAAATTCAAATATTAGTTTTTCCTCCACTAAAAATCACACAAAGATTTAACCTAACTATACGCATTGGTACCTTTACATCCCGTATATATAGAGGATTTCCTTGCCATTCACTTACCACGTCAAACAAAACTTATTTCCTATAGCTTCACTTTCTTCTTATAGGAAATACTAAAATAATGGCCTCCTTTACCAACCTCAGTGCACTAAAACCTTTCAAAACTCAATGGAGAGTTGGTGTTAAGATTCTTAAGCTGTGGAAGTAGTTCTTGAATGGTGTTCAAACTCTTGAAATGGTCGTCGTGGATGGGAAGGTATTCTGAGTTACTACGTTTATATATTATTTTAAACTTTTGATAAATTATAGTATAAGTAAACCAATTAGTTAAAATTATCTACATCTTACGCTGTATTTTTATCTTTACTTGCAGAATCAAACAATGCACATGTCTGTGAAGAAAGAGTTCATAAGGAAATATGAGAATTTGTTGGAAGAAGATATGATCAAAATCTTTACCAACTTTCAAGTCACACATGATGGGGGATACTCTGGACAATATCTCATGTGTACAAGCAGAGTCGTGCCTCCCTTAATGAAAAAAAGGCATTGGCCTTATGCCACATCTATAATTTCAGTTTTTAGATTACATATCAATAATAATATTAGTTAAGTTAGTGAAAGATTTGTTGTTAGAGTCTTGTAATAATAATTTTAACTTTCAAATCATAATTTATCTATCATCTTTTTACTATAATCTAATAAATTTTATTTTATTTATCTACATATTATCTGTTATTCTATCATTTAATATGTTTTAATAAGTACTTGATATTTTAACATATTTTTAAATGATAAACTCATTAAAATGTTTCATATATTTATTTTATATATAATTTTACATTTTAGTAATATAGTTTTACAGTTTGATTTATTTTTAATTCTATAATTTATAAAAATTATACACTTATAAAAGATCACAATTTTCTAAATTGTCTTAGGCCTCTAAATGTGTTAGCACGGCACTGTTTACAAGATCCAGTTCGCCTCTACTACGTCTGTGAAACCAGCTGAAGAATTGGATCCAACTGTCTTAGGTTTGAAATTTGTTAGTTTCACTAACATTCATGATGGCAAACTCAGTCCAGACTTCTTGATAGGTATACGTTTATCTATCTATGTATATATATATATATATATATATTATAAATAGGTATATATGTGTTTTTATTATATCATTATATCTAATCGATCTACTTCATAAAAATGAATATTTACAGCTGTCGTTGGTCAGATCGTTAGTATTGGAAAAGTTGAAATATTGAACGTGAACAAGAAACAAACAAAACGTCTTACCATGACCCTAAGTGACGCAAGGTATAAATTATTTTTATTGTTTATAAGGATTATCTCATATTAAATTTTGACACCACTTATAGCGATGTATATTTTTGCATGTAGTGATATCCGTTTGAATTGTGTTCTATGTGGTAACTACGCTGAGAACCTTGAAAGTGTTGCTACTAATTCAGCTGACGCTGTCATTGTGTTTGTGTTGCGGTTTGGAAAGTTGCATCTATACCAAGGTATCACCGCGCGAAGTTGTAATCGTACATCCAAATCAAAACTCTTTGTCTATTGGTTTAATACATAGATGTCAAATACTCAGGTAACTAGAGTATTGGCAATTGTTATAGCTCTTCTATTGTCATGACTGATCCCGATCTACCAGAGATCAAGTCATTCAAAGAAAGGTATAATCTATATTTTCAATATATTATTAGGTGTTGTATAAATCTACAATAATATCTGTATTCTATTTTGCAGTTGACCAACTGATGGTTTAACACTTTCTTACACTCATCCTAATCAATTGACTATTGTCAATTCTGTCTCTGTACGTGATGATTTTTTTCTCCATCCTCCTCAGAGAACTATAAGTGAGATAACCGCTGCCTTCGAGGTAATTTATTTATATTTATTAACACAGTTTTACAAATGCATTATTACAGTTTCTAATAGTTATTAACACAGTTTTACAAATGTGTTATTAACACAATGATTGTAAAACTGTTTTTTGATGATGTATCTATATAGGTTGCAAAATGTGTAACAACAATCATGTCTATTGACACTGAATTTGGATGGTTCTACATGTCATGTAATGCATGTGCCAAAAACGTTCTTCCACGTGACATGGATGAGATGAGGGAGCTGTATCCGGGCAGACTTTTTCCTAAATAATTGTGGAGTGTGGTAAGTAAAAAGAAGACGTTGAGCAAGTAGTTCCAGCGTAAGTATATCTCTTATTTTGCCTAACAATACAGTGACTACATTATATTGCACTCTATTGTATATTCACATGTTTTAAATATGTTAATATAAATATTCAAGTTCATATTAACTTTTCGAGTAATGGATAATACTGGTGAAACAAAGTTCTTGATATTTGATAAGCTTGCTACGGAGGTTGTCAACCACACAGCCGCCCAACTAACACAGTCTGTTGATGAGGTCTTCTTGAATTATGAAATATTAAATTGAATATTATTGTGTTAATTATTATTTATTTATCAGTTATTCATGAAACAGATTCAGGATCCTGATGTCCTACCTCTACCATTGAGTATCATATGTGGGAAAACCTATTTGTTCAAGATATCCATTGAGAGTTCGAACATTGTTTAAACAGTGATGTTTATAAAGTTTCCAAAATTGTTACTCAAAGTGATATGGTTAAAGAGTTTTCTAAATTTTTGCATCATTGATATGCTACAGTGATACAATTTGGTCATTACCAAATTACTTTCTTACTTATACAATGATAGTTTTATTTATATAGTTATCTATATATATGTGAACAAAATACACCTGAAGTTAAAACAGAGGAAAAAGCGTCTCACCTTATTGACGATAAGGTTAGTTATATATATATTGGGTTGATATCTCAAAATTGTATTTTTATAAAGAAATTCTAAAAATATCAAAGTCATACTTATATGCTAGATTCCGAAGATGTTGCTTGATAGTAGTGATGAGGAAAACACACTCACATCAAAACGTAAGAGTCCTGACAAGATCGAGGTGGAGAAAATTGAGGATGATCATTCAGCTGTCAATAAAACTTGCAAAAACCAACTGAAGCCTTATGATATTAAGAAACCTACTGTTCTTAAGCAAGTGAAGAAAGAGAGGCATGATGGTTGAATTTTGAATCCATTTAGATTATGAATACGGACCTTTGTTTTAGTTTTCTTAATTGTTGGTCATTTAACTTTGGAATAATAATCGGATGTGTGCATCATCCGGTTGGTTTTCTTTTCATTATTTCGTTTGAATTATTTATTTTTTGTTAGCTATCTATGGATTAATAAAAACAACATATTTTCATATTTATCATTTCAATTTAATTATTTATTGCAGTTTGTGCTATGAATTATGATTGTTTATAAAAATTAAATTATTAAGTATTGACTGAACAACAAATAATGTAATAAAATAAAAAATTATCAAAATATATTCCCCATTTCGTGTTGATGTATATCATGTCGTTTTTGTTTACTACCTACATATGTTGTTAAAGAATTGTAGATGTTGAATACATATAATTGATTAAAGAATATAGCATTTGGGATCTGGTAGAGTTATTAGGATAAATATTTTGTAAATAAAGATCTTTATTGATATGTAAACTTAATAGAGATTTTATATTTGTACATAATATAACATATGAATCAATTGTTAACCATTATTGATATTGAATATTTTAGAAATTGATATACTCTAAAAATTTGAAATTACTTCATATTATTTTTATTCTATAAGAAAACATTATAGCAAAATTCCTTTATTGTTTTGACATGTTCAGGCAATTTGCAGAGAACTTCTCCTTTGAAGCAGTTAACATTCTCCGTCTTTTCCCCTTTATGTATTTCTATATTCTTTCAAACCTATGATATTCAGCCAGTATCATTTTCTATTTGAAATTTAAGGAAGAATCTATTTAATAACAGACACTAATATTTTGAAGTAATACAAGTGAAGTTGTTATACAACTATTCAAATCGTTTAGATTGAACATGCTAAAAATTAAATTCTTTGGAATTTAGCTCAATATTAAAAGTTTGATATATTTACAGAATCTCAACCAGAATACATATATGCCGTTCGTAAAAGTTGGTTTCATTTTAGGAAGTAATCCATAAGTATAGAGGATCTCTGTTACTATAATTATTTATAATATTACCTTCTTATATATTACATATCTTTGTCTTTAACGTAAACAAGATTCCAAATTTTGGTTTGATTCATAATCTTTCGGTTACCTAATATCTATCATATTTGTTAGGAAAATATCGATGAAATCCTAACACATTAAATCCTTTCATATGCATATATATATATATATGGTTGTCCCTAGTGAACACTTTTCAGTCCATGCAACTGTAGCAGATATCCGTCTTTTGAAACTATCTTTCTCTGCATTTTTTCGTTTATTTATATCCCCCGGACTCTTAATACTGAGGCAGATGCTATTGCGAAAGAAGCTCTTCGAGCTCTCTTGAACGTTGTTGCTTGATTTATTGAAGTTTAAAGTCTAACAAAAAAATGCATATATATATATATGGTTATACTGTATTAAGACACAATCATTCATAACAATCAAACTATAAAAAAACTATAGACAAAAAAATGACTCTTCTTATTGACAAAATTCATAATCTTAATTAGTCTACAACAGAATGGACTGTTCGACTTAAACTACTTAAGAAGTGGAAGCAATATACTAGACATCAAGAGACTACTCTTGATATGAATATGAATAGATATCAAAGTAAAAATAATGATATCTATAAAATATTTTACTTAAATTTTTTTATTCTGATTGCCTACTAATTGGTTTTCATTTTCACTTTCAAGGTAATAAGATCCAGGTCAGAGTAACAAAGAAATTCATTAGGAAGTATGACTGTTTACTGATTGAGGGATCATAGTTTGAGATCAAAGATTTTGCTGTAATTCGAACACAATGTGGAAAAAAACGTTCGACCATACAAAAAAATGATTCAGTTCATCATCTCTACAATGTTTCAACCACTTAACTACTGTGAGTGTATGTATCTTTAATATGTTATCATGTTTTTTTAATTCGAAATTATATACAACAACTACTAATTATCTCCATTGTTTATTATAAATATATGTAGTTAGAAGAACAAGTTTCAATGGTAAGAGGTGCAGCCTATATTATTAGTTTTTAGAGGTACTTCTCATTCTCTTGCTTTTTAAAAAATTACAGTTGATGAATTAACTAAATTAATGGAATTTGATGTTATTTGCTATTAACAATATATTTGTTATACTGTGCAAGTTTAGCAATAAGACAACTGATGCATCATGAATAAGAAATTTTTGTATTCTCATTTAGCTGAGAGTCATAGCGAATTATATAATTTGTTAGCAGTTAGGTTTATTTGTTTTATTTAAGATCTGTTTGTTTCATCCAGCTTAATAATAATATGTTTAGATATACTTTACATTTATCAAATAATTCAGACCTGAAGTTATTAAATATTCAGGCAAATATTCAGTTACTTTTCCTCATTGAATTTTTCAAATCTGCACATTTGTAAATTCGAATACAGAGCATAGAAAAATAATACTTACATGGAAAGACGTTCGAAACTGCAGAGTATAAGCAGAGCATTGTGTGCTGACTTTAATATCTTACCTATATAAAGAACACAATTTTAATTATATATTTACCTATATTTATGTATAATTCAAGAGAGATGCAATTCATATAATGTGCATTGTCTCCACTTGGATTTAGATTATTTTTATTTCCATTTTTGCTAGAATAAACAACTTCACTTATATTCATTATTTGTCATGATAATTATATGACTAAATTGAGATTACCTTAATAGATGCAATTTCATAAAAAGTGCATATTTCTCAGAAACAATGCATTTGATTGACCTGTGCATTTTGCTTTTTCGAAAATGAAATTTTTTAAAAAACTTTTTAAATTCAATAACCCTATTGATTAAACATTCGGTTTCAAAACCCTGTAACATGTAGGGTTTTGTTTTCTTTCCTATATTTATTATATCGTATATCAAAGGATATCTCATCCCCCATTAAACTTCTGCAACTTCTGTTTTCTATAATAGCTCTAATCTCTTTAAAAACAAAAATTCACCTCTTAGGGTAATGGCTACCTATGACTGCATCAACAATTTGCATCTAGATAAAACAAACTGGAGCATCAGAGTTAAGGTACTGAAGAAATGAATCGGCCAGGGAACTCCTAATCATGATTCCTTACAAATGATGCTCATGGATGAAGAGGTTTGTTAACTCAAATTTGTCCGTTATGTTAATAATATGTAATTTTGGATTTATTATAATTTTAATTTTGAAACATTTAATTTATTATCTTCAGGGTGATATGATTCAAGCATATCTGTATCATGCCGGTCTGATCAAAGTATATGGTAGAGTGATGCGAGTTGTAAACGGGGTTTGTTGTTTTCCTTTTACTAAGCTTCAGGTTTTAAATTTATAACCCCTAAATGTCTGCAAGTGCACAGATGTGCGCTGTAGTACTTAGGGTATCGATCCACAGAAACTTAGTTGTTTCAGTACGAATTCACTGCAACGCTTAAATCAGATTAGAACTAAACGGTTTGGATTTTGGTTTTGGGTTTTGGTTGTCACTAAATCTAAACTAGAAAGCTAAACAAGTAAAAGCAATTGAAAGTGAAAGCAAATAAAAGCAAGTAAGAATCGATTAAACAAAAGCGAATGAAGGAAACTAAATGGCGATTAAACTAGGCGATTGAAAGCAAAGAACAAGCAAATGAAAAGCAAACTAAATTGAAGGTTGTAAGCAATGAAAGACAAACGTTGGGGCTCAAGGGGTTTCGCAGGGGTTCATGGACTAGGCTATATCGATTTTAAGCATATGATAAAGGTAATCAACTACGTATGTTCTAGAACTCGAGGCACGGAAGTATGAATAGTCTACTTTCGCAGCACTAAACAACTATCTCTGGCAACCCTAATCAGTAGGTTTCCACTTTGATTTTGGAAGGGAGAAGATGCAATAGCAGAACAAGACTCATCAATATTCACAACTCAACTACAGGTAGGTTTCCACTCCTACAGAAGAATTGCTCGTTTCACCCTAGTTCAGACAATCAATGAAAGCTTTCGCAACATATCATATCAGATCGGCT